GCTTAATCTCAAGGATGTGGCTTCTGTGTTTATAAAGAGGAAAAGGAACTGGCTGGGTAATTAATGTTTGTAAAATATTTAGATATTTTGAAAGTAGTGTAATTTTTTTTAAAACATGCCTTAGGCTCACAAACATGCAAGCAAGGAGTTTAATGGGAAGAGATTCCCGTGACTGTAAAGACTGCTGTCTAGGAAGCTATAATGGCAGGAACTCTGTTTCTTGAGTCCTTGGGTAAGAGGTGTTACCTATTTTCAGGTACTCCAAGAAAGCAGTCAACACGGAGGAGAAAATGTACAAAGGTGGGAAGTTTGCGGCCTGCCCACTCTTTGTTTCAGAATATAATCACCATCAGCATATACTGGCTCCATAAAGACTTGTCAAATGGAAATCAGTTAATTACATATTAAATGAAAATACTCCTACCTCTGTCCTCTGCTTTTTAATTTTTGCTCTTTTTCCTTCTCCCAAAGTACAAATGAATGAGACCGAGGTTTGCAATGAATTTCCAGTCCTTTCTTTCCATATAACATTGCTAATAAAAAGCATTTTCATTTCCACCCTTGACCAAGCAGAGCAGTCTTCAAATACAGAAAGCCTGCAGTTAAGTCAAAATTAGGTTCTTTTAAAGAAATATTTTAGTTTTATTTATGTGTATGCATACACGTTTCTGTGTGTATATACCAGGTGTGTGCAAGGGGCCTCGGAGGCTGGAAGCAGGAGTCAAATCCTTTGGAGCTGGAATTAGCAGTGGTTGTGAGCTGCCATGTGGGTGTTAGGAACTTGAGCAGGTCCTCTGGAGAACAGAAAGTGCTCTTAGCCATGGAGCTGTCTCTCCAGCCCTAGAAGCCAGATTCTTAATATAGAGGTTAGAAGGTGTGAAAATATTTGAAGCACATTTTTCTTCCAAGGAAAAGAAAGTAACTCTACGGTATATGAAGTACAGAATTTCAAATTAGTGGGGTAATAACAAAAGTGTAGTGGTGACTTTTTCAGTACCACCTACCACTCTCCTAGAGGTAAGCATGGCAGAAGAGACCTCTGTAAACAGGGAGGCTCTGAGGCCTTTGAGCCACAGCTTGGGTGAGGGATGTGTGGACTGGACTAGTCAAGTCAGCTTGTGGCTTAGTGTAGGTACTACACAGAGAATATGCCCAACCTAAAAATCAGGGAGGCAAAGAGGCTGACAGACTGAGACAAAGTCCGCTAGACTTGAGCAAGTTCATAATTTCATTCCATGATTGCTTTTCCTATGGTGTGGATAACCCTTCACAAGGTGTTGGTTTTTATGTGTACTTCATTTGGGTGGCAAATGCCTTTTTATTTTATTCCCGGGTTGTTAACTGATAGAGTTTGTTAGCCAGGCAGACTCCTAAGTGTGCCCGAGGTGCTGAGTTGACTCGTTCTGAGATGTCTCATGTTTGTATGAGTCATTCCTTTGTTGGTGGTGGCACATCCTGCCAATAGTTCTTGTGGGTCAGAGCTATGGCTGTGACTGTGGTTGACTAACCGTGAAAGGGTGTGCCTGCTAGGTGTGATTTCGGTTGATTCACGAACTCTACTTTAGGCCACTACACCTGAACAAGATTAATAACTTGGGCCTATAGAGTCCTGTTTATTTTTAAGTTATTATTTATTAAATTTACTGATATTTATAGAGTAAAACAAGCAGGCATATGTAGCTCATTAAGGCAAGGTGCAATCCTAGAACAGAGCTCCTATATGTGAGATTTTTAGCTACATGTTATTTTTAATTGCAGAACAACCCAAGAAGGTTGAGATTAGAGTCATAAAAGCTGAAGAATGATCTCACAGAAGGCTAGCTCACCACACTTATTTGCTGATCAAAAATGTAATGGCTTCACCCACTCCCAGCCTAAGACAGGGCTCTCACCCTCCTTTCACCCACATCAGAGTCCCTTGACGTTGCCCATCGTCAACAGCCTAAAGCCTTCGACCATCGATGTGACTCGTCTCACATCAGTGTTTTGGGGTTGTGAACTTGTCTAAGACCCCCCATAATTAGACATCCAAATTCAAAACTCACATAGTTGGGATTGAACATAAGACGCCTTCTCTAACTAAACAGAGAAGGGGGAGATGCCAGAAGCCAGGACCCTCGCCCTTACCCTTACCCCCTACCTTTCCCCACCTGCACAATGTCCTCTGAAGCTTGGCAACTGCAAGATCCTGCTTAGCAACTGCAGATAGACTCAAAGCAGAGTACCATGTCTTCTTAAGAATAGCAGGGAGACCATAACTCAAGCAGTGTACCATATCTTCTGAAGAACTGCAGGTAGATCATAATTCAAGGCAGTGTACCATATAGACCATGACATGTTTCAAGGCACAGGCCAAGAAGATTTTGTACTTTTCCACCACCTGGACCCTCTTACCCCCTCCCCTTGTAAAACATGCTATAAAAAAAAAAGCATTTCATGTTCAAAAAAAATAAAAAGAAATTAAAAAAAAATGTAATGGCTTCTCTGAGTTATTGGGTTAAGGGGAGACTCAAGAATCTTCCTGGGAAGGGGACAGAGAATAGATTCAGCCGGTGGACTGGATGCAGGTGGGGGTGGGAACAAAGGGAGGAGGTGTGGTGGAGGAAGAAATACTGGGAGAAAAGACTGGATTTGGGAGACCATTTTGGAGTGAAGTAGAAACCTAGTGCAGTGGAAACTTCAAGAGTAACCCTAGCAGGACTCTTAGTGATGGAGACATGGAACCTGAACAAGCAATCTTGTGTAAGCAGGCAAGGCCTCAAGGAGGGACTGGGACACCAACCCAGTCACAAAAACTTTGACTTACAGTTTGTCCTGCCTGTAGAGTGTTCTGGAACCAGAGCCTAGCACCAGAGAGACTTCATCCAGCAACTGATGGGAGCAGATACAGAGTTCCACAGACAAACATTAGGTGGAGCTCTGGGAAGCCTGCTGAGGAGGGGTAGGAAGGATCTGAGGAACCAGAGGGGTCAGGGACACACCAGGAGAACACAGCCCTCAGAATCAACTGACTGGGACTCAGGGTGACATGTGGAAACCAGGGAGCCTGTGGAGGTCTGACCTGGGTTCTTTGAATATACGTTAGGCTGAAGGGTAACTTGGTGTTCTTACGGGAATCCTACCGATGGGAAGGGGTGGAAGTGGCCCTGACTCCTTTGCTTACTTGTTGGGCTCTTTTCTTTCGACTGAGTGGTCTTGCCAGGCCTTGATGTGATGGTATGTGCCTGGTCTTATTTTAGCTTGATATGTGTAGTTTGGATGTCCCTGGGAGGCCTGCTTTTTCTGAAGGGAGGCAGGATAAGCGGTGGGTCTGAGGGAAAGGGAGGTAAGGGAGAGAATGGGGAGACGATAGGGAGGGGAATCTGTAGTCAGTCAGGATCCAATGTATGAGAAGAATAAAAATGAAGACACACATAAAGCAACCAGTGGGTGTGGCAGGAGAGGTAGCTCAAATTACTAAGTTGCAAACTTCAGTTGCTATGTAAAAACACAGTGGTTTGTGATTGTAATTACAGCAGTGGGAAAGTAGAGGAGAATCTTTGGGGTTCACTGGTAAGCCAGCTCAGACAATCCCACGAGTTCCAGGCCACTGAGAGATATTGTCAAAAGAAAGGAGAGAAAGACAAACAAAGGAAAGAAAGAAGGCACACTAAGAATGAGAACTGAGTTGCTGCCTGATCCCCACAGATCTGTGTACTTGGGCCCACAGGCATATGCACCTGAGACACCAGTATGCCCCCTTTTTAACATATACCTTATACTCTTAGTGAAAATTGGCCTATAGGCCTTCCTAAAGACCAGAGTCTAGTGCAGGGTGCTTCATTTCCATGTAATAAATCCAGTGGAAGTTCCAGTCTCCACACACCTTCTGGCTGCTAGGTCCACACTGTGAGACAGAAGTTTTAATCTCTGTCATATATTATGGATCATTGTTGTGTCCATGATGTAAAGTGCCAGGGAAACAATGGACTGAAAAAACTCCCAGATTCCTTTCTCAAACACCAATCCCAGTTTATAGGGACCTAATTCAGTGCTTTCTTCACTGTCTAGCCTTTTAGCCCTGCCACATACATCATTGTCCAGTGCTCTTAAGATCCACTCTGAGCACATCGCCTTGGCACTTGATGATAACTAACAAGGATCAAGTGCTGTGATTCCTTAGCTTTATGAGACATGTCTTTCTGTAGACATGATTTAACCTATTCCAAGAAATGATCTATTTATTTTCTGAACTCAGTAAGAAGTGGTCAGCACTTTCTGGGAAGTGTGATCTTGGACAAGTTCTCTCAGGGTCAGAGCAGGCTGTGTTCCTCTACACTGCCTTTGTGAACTTTAAGATTCTCAGCTTTTGCCGAGCAGTGGTGGCACACTCCTTTAATTCCAGCACTTGGGAGGCAGAGGCAGGCAGATTTCTGAGTTCAAGGCCAGCCTGGTCTACAGAGTGAGTTCCAGGACAGCCAGAGATACACAGAGAAACCCTGTCTCGAACAACAAAACAAAACAAAACAAAAAATTCTCAGATTTGTCTCCACACTATTCAGCTGGGCAGTGTCCAGCTTTGCAGTTATGTCCTGAATTGATTTTGATAGCTACCATCTCTCAGCTCTCACTTGGGTCTTGACCTGAAGACTTGGGATTTCTCACTTCTGCATACAGCTCACTGACTGCAGGCCACCCTCAACCCCAGCAGTATCCAGAAGTACAACTTTGGGAAAATGTCACTCTCCCATTTGCCTAAGCAATGAAGCAGCATCAAATTAGAAAAATCTTTCCTGTTTTCACTTATTTTGTCTTTAAGCCATGTTTAGATTTCTGGTCTGGGACAAAAAAAATAGAGAACCCACTCATCTCTATATAGAACAAACTCTACAGAATTGTAGAAAATTCTAAATTTTTGATAAACCCATTTTTTCATGAGAATTTTTCATACTGTTTGTTTTTCATTGTAAATGAGAAAAATAACACTTTCTAATAAAAAAATAACATAATGAAATAGAGATCTTATAAAACTTTAGAGATAAGAGTGGCTTTATTTAAGTATCAAATACTTTTGGACAGGAAATGTCTCTTAGCTGGGCACAATAGGCATTACAGAATGCCAGAATGTGGGAATAAGAGATAGAAGAATTCAGAGTCCACTGGACTGTAAGATCCTCCCTTAAATACCACAACCAAAGCAGCAATGTGTTTCCTCTTGAGTACCTGTTCCTGTGTTCAGAGCCACGTTTACTCTGGGAAGAGCTTCTCTGTTGACCCTCCTCTCTTGAAAGATGAGGCCTAGCATCACAGTGAGAGTCATCCACTGAACAAATGTCCTTCTTCAGTGACTCTTCAACCATGACATGAACTTCTTGGGCTGTCAATTGTGGAACTAAACTGTTTTAGTTCATAAAATATTATACTATAAATTGTGAAAGCTTGTGAAATAAAATTAATTTGTACTTGGTAGCTCTGTGTATCAGCACTTCTGTAAGGTAAAAAAAACCCATAACAATGTTTGGCTTCAGAAAAGTATCTTCTTTAAATTATCATGGAATATGCATTTCCATTAACTTAGAGTTGCCAATATTTTTAGCAGTTGAACCAGGTACTAGAATCACGGGAATCATCAACTCTTCTTATTCGGAGGTTAAATCTGTGTTGAACTGATTGGTGGAAGAAATAGAAATTTTCTGCAAATAAAAAAGATATTTATTATATAATACATGAAGTTTCCAGATTTTGACTCAATCCTGACTTCTGTATGCCATCATCAGTATGCATACTTTTCTTTACATCTGCTGTTTAAATAGCAACACTATTACTTTTAATATTGTAACAAAATAGAGAAAATGTATTTATAATCTTACCGCCTTTCTGGAAAACATCATCAACTTTATCATTAATTCCAGGGAAGTCTTCTGCTGTTAATCTAGGATAACCTGAATCCATGGACCGGGTATTTTCATCATACCTTATTTAAAAAAAATTGGTTAAACGTATCAGCACTTTTGACCAAAATGGAGACTGCTTTAAAATATTTACAGAAAATGCAAGAGTATGGATGGCATAGAAATTTTTAATTCTTGAGATTAGAAAGGAGTGAATTGGGTGAGGAAATGTAGAATGTTGGATATACCAAACTATGCATAAGTTCCTTCTAAAATCCAATGAACCACACGGATGTCCTCTTCAGGTAAAATGCTTTGTGAATGGTAAATTTAGGTGAAAGTAGCTCAAGAAGTTGATTGCTCTTGTTCCCCCACCCTTCCATAGCACAGAATAGCAAGGCAGGCTCATTGGATTCCCTGTACAAGCGCCTCACAATGCTTGTTGCTCCACAGACTAATGGATGCTCAGTGGCTACAGCCATTCATAGAAAAGGCAGTTTGACAATGCCCTTTGCAACTCATTTAAAGATCTTTCTGTATAGAAACAACTGGCACCCTAACATTACTCATATTTTAGTCTTTACCTCCAGTACATGTGGTCAACAAAGAAATATGTTTTTCCAGTCTCTTCCTCAGAAACAGCAGCATCAATGTGTGTCACATTGCTAGGGAAACCAAAGAAGCTGTGGATGTCTCTGGGGAATCCTCTCAGTACACTTTGTTCTCGAACAGCCCAGACTTTATTTCCTGCCAATCAAATACGACAGATGAATGTCCTTGTCTATGTTTTCAGCTAAACTTCCCAAGCTAGAACAACCTACAGACTACAACTGTGCTTGGAAGGGCTTGGTATCTTCTTTGTTGAATCTTCTTTGTTGATATCAGGATCCAATCTCAAAGCAATTAAATGAGTTTGCCTTTCGTTTGTTTGTTTGTTTGTTGTGTTTTTGAGTCAAGGAACTTACACTACAACCTAGTTTGGTCTAGAATCCACTATGTAATTTGCAGCAGTCCTTCTGCCTTAGCCTTCTAACTGTTAGAATTAAAGGCATGTGTCACTAAGCCTGGTTTATATGAGATATTTTTTCCTACCCAGGACATTCTAATCTGTAACATGCTTTGAACATTATCTCCTGTTCCCCTCCTCCATTGTAGTTGAAGTTCCTTTTCAAACCCAGACCCTTGAACAACTATAATTTCTAGTCTACTTCTGTAGTAACAAATTTCAACAGCATCCTCCGAGGTAGATGTGTAAACGTATGCAGATTCAAGATTGTTATACACATTGATATCAAGGAAAAAGCCCTGGGATGTCAGGCAGGGGAACGTGTTATTCCGGGAACATGTTTCTACTTTACTAGGAGAAATCAGTCAGCAGTGCCTGGTCTGCCTACCTGCTGCTAATGGCTTTCTCCTCTCTCAAGATGGTGCTTCATATCACAATGAGGGGTCTAGGAAATTGCATACACAAAATCTTTCTGTATCATATTTTGTGGAATTGGCTCATGACTCTCACTTTTATTTCTGAGCACTCCCAAGCATATGGAGGAAGTTTAAAACACAGTAATTGCTTACAGAGTCTTAAACAAGTCTAAATAATTAGAACTCTAGTAATTTATGTCTTAATAAAAATGATGCTGAATATGCACTATAACTTTTAGCTAAGCTGATGGGCTCCCATGAACTTACTTGGAGAAGCTTGAATATTCAGAAGTCTGTGCAGTGAATGTAGCTAATACCCTTGTATCTCACTACCAAACTGAATGAAAATTTAGTTTATAAAATCAAAGAGAAACAATTAGAAATGTTACCTTTGAAATAGCGGACTTGATCTATCATACTAACTTCATAAGCAGCGTCAAGTTTACCTGGCAGATTTGGCCAGAGAATACCTATCAAATTGAGCTCAGCTTCTGGCATGAAGTTATTTACACGAATGTAGAACCTGATTCAAAAAGAAAAGAAAGTGGCTGTCAATGGATCTCCAGGGAATCTCCAGCTTCTTCTCACTGGAAAGCTCCTGTGAGCAAATATTCACTGTTTCCCTGAAGATGGGATCAGGCATGGTTTCTGCTTGATGTGCTTGTTTCTTGATGGAAATACTCATGCTGTGGCAAATTTTGAGACTGGTGGTAACACATCACATGGGATCCTGATCATTTGGAGACACAGATGGCATAACCAAACTCAAGAATATAAGGAGTAGAGGCATTGTGAACAGGGGTGGGCTAGAGCAGAGCAGTGAAGTGCTGGCCTGGCATGCATGAAGCTGGGCATTTGAGCCTCAGTACTATCAACGAACTTCAGTACTCTCAGTGCTTCAGTGAAGGCGATGACAGAGCAATGCTTTATTTCTATTACTGGTGGTTCTAGTACAATTTAATTTAACTTTTATATTGGCTGTGATTCACAAGCAATTTTCATAAACCTTTAAAATTTATAGTCAGCTTTGGTGAGCCATGAGGAGCAGGCTGTAGCATGTGACCAACTGCAATGCAGCATCCTGTGCCAGTATCCTGTATTCAGTGAAGGTCATTATCTCTGAATATGTGAGGGTGCATGGATACTCCTGTGGATACCCAAACCCAGGGAAGATTAAATCCATTATAGGGGGTATAATTTTCAAAATATAATTCATGAGGCTATCACCACAGGCCCCTCTATGCCCATCCAACTTCTCCACTCAGCTAGATCTTCTACATCCTTCACCAGGGTCTAGCCCAGTAAGTCTTCCTGATCCTCTCCAACCTCTTAGATCTAGCTTGGGTCCCATATCCAGCATCCCAGATTAGTCTATCTGAACCACAAAATTTTAGGCTTTTGTTACAACTCTACCTTGCTCCCTACAGCTCATACGCCCCACCAACACTACCTCCAAACTTTCCACCAAACCAGACCAGCTCTTATACTCCATGCTTACACCATGAGGCACAGGACATCATAGTTAGAATGTTAAGTTTGCATATCAAAGAAAGTATACTGAAACTTGCAAGGGAAAAAGCACAAGCCACATATGAAGGGAAACATATTAATGACACATATCTCAATGGAAACTTTGAAAATCAGAAGCGCCCACACAAGTATATTCCAAGTTCTAAAAACCTATGGCAGGTAGTCTAGGTTAATACAGCCAGCAAAACTATCCACCTTAATGGAAGGAGAAAGAAAGAGGTTCTATGATATAGACAACCTAAAAAAAAATTCTATCTAAAACCCAAATCTAAAGAAAATACAGTAAAAATATTTAACGCTGAAGAGAGATGTTGGAAAAATATGAAGCCATACTTATTAAAATACATCACATCATTGAGGATACAAACAACGGTACATATCAACAACCTGACCACAGTTAACACACACACGCACGCACACACACACACACAAATTACACACCAATACCACTGATAAATATAGACATAGAAATACTTAATGAAATATTTAAAAGCCGCATGCAGACACACAGAGAAACAGTTATACACTTTAATCAGGTGAATTTTATCTCTGAAATGGAGAGATGATTCAATACATGTAAGTCAATAAATTCAATAAACCACATAAGTGGGCGTAACAAAAATCACATGATCGTCTGAACGGCTACACAAAGAGCTTTGATAAAATTCACCACGCCCTCATGATAAATGTCCTAGTGTATGCGCGATTACAGGGAATACACCTAAAAACAATAAAATGTATATATATAAAAAGCCTGCATTATTCTATCTAGAGAAACGTTTGAAGCAATCCCACTGAAGTTGGGACCCAAAACAGGAAGAGCCACCATCCCTATCTAGTCTTTCTCAGCATCACGTTCATAGTACTCATTAGTGTTAGTATGTGGTTCCTGAGTGTGCCCATGAGAGAGTCTCTGCCTGTTGTGCCTTCTCTTGGGCTCTTTTGCTCCTGTTTGCTTATCTGGTCCAACTCTGATGTTTTGTTGTTTTTATCTTACTGTATTTTGTTGTATTTTATTATTGCTCCTTAAAAGCCTGTTGCTTTCTAATAAGAGCTAGAAAGAGAGTGTATCCAGATGGGAGAAAATCTATGTCAGCTCTACATATGGCACAGTATTAATAACCAAAGTGAGCAACGACTCAAAACACCCCACACTAACAAAACCCAAATGACATATTAAAAGCTGGGCTTGGGACCTGAACAGAAAGTTCTAAAAAGAAGAAAAGAGATGACTAAGAAATATATCAAAAAACAGTTCATTGTTTCTAGCAATTAGGCAAATTCAAGTCAAAATACCTTTTAGAGTTTATCTTAACCCAGTCAGAATGGCAATGATCAAGCAAAGTACAATGAATGCTATGTGAGGGCTGGGAAAGGGAACAAAAGGAACCTCATTCACTGTTGGTAGGAGCTGTAAACTGGGGCAGTCATTACAGAAATCAGTGTGGACTTAGCCATATCACCCCTTGGCATATGCACATAGATCCCTGCTCGTCCATGTTCATTGCTGCTCTATTCACAACAGCTAGAAAATGGAAGTAACCTAAGTGTCCTTCAACTGATGAATGGATAATGAAAATGTGGTTCATATATACTACGAACTATTATTCAGCAGCAAAGAGAAGAAGAAACTTATAAACATTGAAGAGAAATGGATATAACCCAGAAAGACAAACAGCACAACAACAGTTCTAAGTTGTTGGAGTTCTAAATAGTCAGATGTGAGTACATACTCTAGAGTAACTATAGTAATCAGAAAAGTAAAAGGGGGCATCACCAGGGTAGGAGGGTTGGGAGCAATAGCGAGGGAAAAAGTAGGACACAAGTGATTTGATCAGAAAAAGGGGAAAGGGGTAGCTCTAACTAGGAAGGGGGATCCAGATAAATACAGAAGGAGGGAAGAGATGTCTGAAAAAGAAACAAGAAGTCATACTAATAGCTAACTTCATAAGAAAACCCCTACAATACCCATAAGTCTCTCTATAAGTATACATGCATAGTTTTAAGTAAGATTTTTACATCTGGGCTAACAATGATCTCTCCAAGAGCCAAAGACCACCCAATAAAACCCTAACACTATGTATGAGAAGTCCTCTTGTGAGTTCCTGGTCAGAGTTGTTCAAGAGATTCCTAAAACATTATGGGCTATAGCTAATATCTTTGGTTACTCTCTAGAGGTGGAAGATAATTCCCCTATTGCTAAAGATATCATACACTTCAGACACAGGGCCTAGAGGCTCTTGAGCTGAAACTAACCTGAAAGCTTCCTTCCTGAGGACTAGCTATCATGATACCAGAAGGTGCCATGCCAGCTTCCAAAGGAGGGAGGCATGCAACACTCCTACCCAGCTATGGCATCTATGAACTTCACCAACGACCAGTCTGGTACTATAACCCTGAGGGTCCAGTAGTGGCACGCATACATCGAAGGTAACCAACAGCTCTCTAATTGTACTTCAGACATGCTCAATAAGAGATAAACTATGCAAGAGCTACTGGTGTCATGGATCTTGGCCACTTGACTAAACTAGCATGGTCCCTAACTACATTCTAAATATTTGTTGTTTTACCCATAGATAATGTAGTCTCCACTCCTCAACAAGGAAACTTTTCTTTGCAGCAGACAAAAAACCCTACAGAAAACCACAATGGATAAAAATATAGGGTTGTAAAGCTCAGTCTAGGTAGATATTTCTTAGAAGCGCTCCCATGTGTAAGGCTCAGGGATCACTGAGGAGGGTGGAGAGCATATAAGTCCAGAGGACAAGGGAGTTTGCTGTGAGATTATGTCTCCTAGGAATGTCAGAAGCTACACCTTAAGTCTCATCAATATGACTACATAAACATGTGCTGAACAAGGACAACAGACTTGCCACAGCAGACCAGTAAGGCCTACAAGAGCTCGGCCCTACACAAAGAACCACAGGGAGCTAAGAGATACTGTGACCATGAGAGATAGTCTTCTCCAGGGAAAAGCACACCAATTGGTAAACCGATACCAAATGGACAGCCCTAAAAATATACATACAAGTAATAGGATACGGAGTGAGCAGCTTATTTTCAGGGATTTGCATACATAGATGCATGTAAAAACAGTGATAAAAAGTCCATGAATTTGAAAGAGAGCTAGGAAGGGTGTATTGAAGGGGTTGGAGAGAGGAACAGAAATGGGGAAATGAGGTAACTATATTATAATCTTAAGTACTGTAAATGATAAGTATACACAATCTATGAACATTTTGCTTAAAATCATCTAAGAGTATTTATAATCCTACTTACTTGGCTATTATAAAATATTACTTTGGCATAATAGCAAGAAAACTTGGTACAGATGCAGTTTTAAAAGTACTGTTTAGATACATAGATCTGTGATGAATTGAATGCAAGCATGTGGAAGAGAATACAGAATACTGACTCCACTCACATGGACAGGGTTACCTAGGTCATGCTTTCCTTTTTTAATTTCTCAAGACACTAACCCAGGGCAGCTCTCAGAATAACGACCTTGAATGTCTTTAAAAGAGTTTTTTATTTCTTCATCTTATTTTATGTGTATGAGTGTTTTGCCTACATGGATGTTTGTATACCATTTGCTGACCCAATACTCACAGAGGTTGTGAGCCAAGATGCTGGTGCTGGAGCCCAAATCCAGGTCCTCTTCATGAACAACTATGCTCTTAATTCCTCAGCTGTTCAGCCCAACCTTGAACCTCTGAAGCTCATAGGTCTTTTAAGTGCTGTGATTACAGCTGTGTCCTATCATACAGTTTTATTAGATGCTTCAGGTCAAACCTGGTTCTTTGTGCATGGCCTACCTACTAAACCACATTCCCAGCCCTTGAGATTTCCTTTAAGGCTATGTTTCAAAGCTTCCCATCATGCAGGATTCAACCTTATCTTTCATTCTCATAAGTAGTAAGAAGATCCTAGAAAGCACTTGGAGCCAATATCTGAATGTGGATGTAGCCACAGCATAGCCAGCCAGGGCTGTGGAGTTCCTATGCTATGCTCACTTTTCAGTGGGAAGCATCAGGTATGCTACTATGTTTCCTGGACCTTTAGAAATTCCTATGGTGTGGACGCAGTGTGGTCCTTCTGTGGAAGGGGACTGGCATGCTTTCAGGTCCACACACTGACAGGGAATTTTACTTCCCTCCTCTGAGGAGGTGATGCACAGCATCCTGGTTGCTCTTCTCTGCCTGGGGGAAGAGCTAAGGACTCAGAACTCTCCAGCAATGGCTTCTTCCCTCCTCTTCCCTGAGCCTCTAAAGGGCAGAGAAAACTTTCAGGAGCAGAGCAAAGCTGATAAAGGGGTTAGAGGGCCATATACATACATACATACATACACACACAAATTTTGGGAAAATGTATCTTAAAATGAGTTCTCCTTGTAAAGTACCATCATACTCATCAACACACAGATTAACATGCCTGAAAGAGGTCTGAATTGGGGCCCAGGAGACTAATATACACTATGCCACTCATGAGCTCTGTGTTCCCTGGGAAACTCTCTTTTATTCTCTGCCCTAATTTACAGATCCATAAAGTGGCATTATATTTTAAGGTTTTCCATACAGTCATACTATCTCTGAACCAGCTGACCTAATGCATATGAAAAATCAGTCATTATAAGTTGTAAAAATGAAGAAAAAGAGGGGTAAGAGATAGTATGACTGTAT